ATTTCAGGAATCCTGGGCTGGAATTTCAGGAATCCTGGGCTGGAATTTTCAGGAATCCTGGGCTGGAATTTCAGGAATTCTGGGCTGGAATTTTCAGGAATTCTGGGCTGGAATTTTCAGGAATCCTGGGCTGGAATTTCAGGAATCCTGGGCTGGAATTTCAGGAATTCTGGCTCAAGATTGGGATGAATTTTCTCCCTTTTCCCATGAAATTTCTGGGATTTTGGGCTGAAATTTCAGGAATTTTGAGCTGAAACCCCAGAATATCCCGGAATATCCCGGAATATCCCGGAATATCCCGGAATATCCCGGAATTCCCCCATTTTCCCAGGTTTTCTGCGTGGGGCTGTGGTGCCTGGACGAGTTCTGGTACTACAGCGTCTTCACCCTCTCCATGCTCAGGGAACCTCAGGAATTCTGGGCTGGAATTTGGGGAATCCTGGGCTGGAATTTGGGGAATTCTGGGCTGGAATTTCAGGAATCCTGGGCTGAAATTTGAGGAATCCTGGGCTGGAATTTTCAGGAATCCTGGGCTGGAATTTTCAGGAATCCTGGGCTGGAATTTCAGGAATTCTGGGCTGGAATTTTCAGGAATTCTGGGCTGAAATTTGAGGAATCCTGGCTCAGATTGGGATGAATTTTCTCCCTTTTCCCATGAAATTTCCGGGATTTTGGGCTGAAATTTCCGGGATTTTGGGCTGAAATTTCAGGAATTTTGAGCCGAAACCCCAGAATATCCCGGAATATCCCGGAATATCCCGGAATTCCCCCATTTTCCCAGGTTTTCTGCGTGGGGCTGTGGTGCCTGGACGAGTTCTGGTACTACAGCGTCTTCACCCTCTCCATGCTCGTGGCTTTCGAGGCCTCCCTGGTGCAGCAGCAGCTCCGGAACCTCTCGGAGATCCGGAAAATGGGCAACAAACCCTCCATGATCCAGCAAAAACCCGGAACCTCTCGGAGATCCGGAAAATGGGCAACAAACCCTTCATGATCCAGGTAAAAACCCGGAATTCCGGCCCTTCCCACAAAATCCGCCCCTCTGGGAGCGTTTCCTCGCGCTTTTCCCCCCGCTTTGGCCCCCAAAATTGGAATTTTGGGGGATTTAAACTGTTGGGTTTCCATTTTTTCTTGCGTTTTTCCAGGAAAATTGGATTTTTAGGATTTTTTGGGGATTTTTTTTCCATTTATTTTCCATTTTCTTGTGGATTTTTTCCCAGGAAATCAAATTTTTAGGATTTTTTTTGGAATTTTTTCCATTTATTTTCCGTTTTCTTGTGGATTTTTTTCCTGGAAATGGGACTTTTAGGATTTTTTTTGGAATTTTTTCCGTTTATTTTCTATTTTCTTGTGGATTCTTTCCATGGAAATTGGATTTTTAGGACTTTTTGGGGATTTTTTTTCCATTTATTTTCCATTTTCTTGTGGATTTTTTCCCAGGAAATCAAATTTTTAGAATTTTTTTTGATATTTTTTTCCATTTATTTTCCATTTCCTTGTGGATTCTTTCCCGGGAAATTGAAATTTTAGGACTTTTTTGGAATTTTATTCCATTTATTTTCCGTTTCCTTGTGGATTTTTCCCCTGGAAATTGGATTTTTAGGATTTTTTTTGGAATTTTTTCCATTTATTTTCTATTTTCTTGTGGATTCTTTCCATGGAAATTGGATTTTTAGGAATTTTTTGGAACTTTTTTCCATTTATTTTCCATTTTCTTGTGGATTTTTTCCCTGGAAATTGAATTTTTAGGATTTTTTTTGATATTTTTTTCCATTTATTTTCCGTTTTCTTGTGGATTTTTTCCCGGGAAATTGAATTTTTGTGGATTTTGGGAATTTTCCCCATTTATTTTCCCTTTTCCCGTGGTTTTCCTGCTGATTTTGTCCCAAAATTCACATTTTTGGGTGTTTTTTCCTCCCTTTCCCATCATTTTCCCAATGATTCCCGTTAAAAATGGGGATTTGAGGGGGGTTTGGATTAATTTTTGTTCCTTTTCCCACCGATTCCATCCCAAAAATGGGGAATTTTTGGGAATTCCAGGTCTACAGGAACCGGAAGTGGCGGCCGATTTCCAGCGAGGAGATCGTGGCCGGGGACGTCGTCTCCATCGGTAAAAACCGGGAATTCCCGTGGAAAAACGGGAATTCTCATGGAAAAACGGGAATTCTCATGGAAAAATTCCTTTAAAACGGGGATTTCCATGGAAAACGCCCCAAAAAACGGAATTTTGGGGTGGGAAACACCTTGAAAATGGAGATTTTTTCATGGAAAAATCCCTGAGAAATTGGGATTTTCCCCCATTTTTGAGGTGGAATTCCCGTTTTTCCCGGAGATCCCTTTGGAATTTTCCTGGTTTTTGCAGGAATTCCGGGTTGGATTTGGGGGGGGTTTTATCACCGGGGTTTTCCTCTTTTTTCCTTGGAATTCTTTGGTTTTTCCACCCATCCCCCCCCAATTCCCAAAATTCCCAAAATTCCGGGGGCTGCTCTTCCCCGAATTTTTCCTTTTCCAAGCTCTTTTCCTCCAGATCCAGGGAAAAATGGGCGGGAAAATCGGGAATTTTGGGGCTGGAAAAAATTGGGGGAAAAATGGGAAAAAATTGGGGGAAAAAAAAGGGAAAAAAATGGGAAAAAATTGAGGAAAAATTGGGGGAAAATGGAAAAAAATTGGGAAAAATGGGGCAAAATTGGGGAAAAAATTGGGGAAAAATGGGAAAAAAATGGGAAAAAATTGGGGAAAAATTGGGGGAAAATGGGGAAAAATGGGAAAAAATGGGGGAAAATGGGAAAAAATTGGGGAAAAATGGGAAAAAATTGAGGGAAAATGGGAAAAAATTGGGGAAAAAATTGGGGAAAAATGGGGAAAAAATTGGTAAAAAATGGGAAAAAATTGGGGGAAAATGGGAAAAACTTGGGAAAAAAATGGGTAAAAAATGGGAGAAAATTGGGGAAAAATGGGGAAAATTTGGGTTTGGGCTGGGGAATTTTGGGAATTGTTGGGAATTTTGGGAATTTGTGCCCCCAGGCCGCTCCCCCCAGGAGAATTTGGTGCCCTGTGATCTCCTGCTGCTGCGCGGGCGCTGCGTGGTGGACGAGGCCATGCTGACAGGAGAGTCCGTGCCGCAGATGAAGGTGGGGAAAAATGGGAAAAAATGGGGAAAAAATTGGGGGAAAATTGGGGGAAAATTGGGAGAAAATTGGGGGAAAATTGGGGGGGAAAATGGGAAAAAATTGGGGAAAAATGGGAAAAAGTTGGGGAAATTGGGG